CCCGTTCCCTTTGTTTCTCACCGGGCCAGACACTTGAAAGTGTGTACAATGAATTTGAGAGTGGTTACATTTCTCCAGCCCCATCCCTCAGTTGTTTACGCAAAACATGATGACCACTTTGTCGTTGTTTAAATCCCAGATTGCCGCTTTAAAGTGTGTAAAATGCGCTTTGGACTGGAAAACTAAAGCCGTATTGTGGATGGTGTAGAGAGAAACTGAGGTGCCACAAAACGGAGACACCTTACTTCAAAATAAATAAATAAAAATAACTTTTGTAATAGTTGGAGTCAACGTGACTGAAAAAGCTGAGGCGCCATGTCGCCTTCTTGAAAGGAAGTCCTGAGACTATAGTACAGCCGGTGTTTAATGGACAAGGAAATGACCTTGGGCGTATGTGTAGGTATCCAGTTGGCCATTATAAAGGTGTAAACAGTCATCGTACACTCTTAGAAAAAAAAGGGTTCCAAAAGGTTTCTTCAGCTGACCCCACAGGAGAACCCTTTTTGGTTCTAGGTAGAACCCTTTTTGGTTCTAGGTAGAACCCTTTTTGGTTCTAGGTAGAACCCTTTTTGGTTCCAGGTAGAACTCTTTTGGGTTCCATGTAGAACCCCCTGTAGAAATCTGCCTACTATTACGTCTAAGCCAATATGACACCGATGTCAATGAAACTTTACAAATCACCTTGATTAGAGGTACACAACAAGCTCCCTGCCTCTCCTCATTAGCCGTCCGAGAACCGCATAACGGATTTTTAACAGGGTTGTTAGCATTAGGAAAAAATAATAATAATCTTGGCCCGACCTGGCTCAATATCTAGGCGTTGGATAAGAACGAGACTATAGTGTCCATAAAGTGATCATTAGACTTGCAACCTTTTTGGACTGAATACGTTTTTAGGGGCAACAGTTCTCATTACATTTTAGTCATTTAGCAGACGCTCTTATCCAGAGCGACTTACAGTTAGTGAGTGCATACATTATTATTTTTTCATACTGGCCCCCCATTGGAATCAAACCCACAACCCTGGCTTTGCAAACACCATGCTCTACCAACTGAGCTACATCCCTGCCGGCCATTCCCTCCCCTACCCTGGGCCAATTGTGCGCCGCCCCATGGGTCTCCCGGTGACGGCCAGCTACGACAGAGCCTGGATTCGGACCAGGATCTCTAGTGGCACAGCTAGCACTGCGATGCAGTGCCTTAGACCACTGCGCCACTCGGGAGACCATTAAGAACCCACAATGTGCTCAATTTTTGTACCATTTCTGACCATGCTAAAATGTTTTTTTTTTGCTTAAGCTCAGAGTTCTAACACTGGGTTGAGCAACAACACAGCTGCCTGCACCGGGCTGCCAGTCATAAGTATATGCGAACAAACCAAGGCTACTGTAGATATCTAGCTATATGGTGGTATTCAAGCTGAGGTTAATCAATAAATGCAAAAAAATATATTTGCATGTATGTTAGCTAACGTTAGCTTGCTTGTCCATAACTGATATTTCAGACCTGCTTAAAATCACAATGTCACAGTAATGGAGCTCATGTTACAGCTAAAATAAAGCTGTTTTCATACCTCAAAAGTATACTACTGTCAAGATATGTTTACATTCCACACCATTAGTTTTTAGATACAGTGACTCTATACCTATATACTATATATATATATATGGATGCCAAGTGATGCAATTAAATACACGTACACACACACATCAGTGCCATGGACAGCCACGTCATATTTTCGCTTACGTTGATTGGACAAAATCGTTTTTGGTATCTTTTAGTTGTTATTGTATTACACTAAGCAGAGGTGATTTGATGAAGTTGAAATGGTGCTGGAATAGTGGAGGCAGCTCCTGTTTTCTTTGCGACTTGCGTTGACACTCAGTGGTTCTAAATCAATATTTGTTTAGTAGTGCCGAAAATGTCGGAAACATTAATAAATATTTAGCAGACGCTCATATCCAGAGCATTTAGGGTTGAGTGCCTTGCTCAAGATTCTTCACATTGTCGGCTCGGGGATTAGAACCTGAAACCTTTCGGTTACTGGCACAACACTCTTAAGCGCTAAGCTACCTGCAGCCCATGAACTTGACCGAACATGCTGTAGTTCATGTAACTGTTTGTTACATGCAATATGCTCTGTGGACTCCACCGGACAGAGGTTGCTCTTCGGTTTTGTGATAACACAAAGGTGTGGTTGAATTTATTCAGCCACTGCGTCTTCTTATTGTCTCGGCCTT